CCTAGTTTCAGTGGACGATTCAGAGAAATTGTAATATAATAAGAAAGGAAGAATTTATTGTCTGCATACTTGTTTAGTGCAGCATGCCACCCTATTTGTTTTGCTTGTTTATTTGTTTTGAAGCAAGGCCTCACTCTGTAGCCCAAGTTGGTCTGGAATTCATGGATTTTTCTCTTGTCTTGAACTTCTGAAGTCTAAAATTGAGTGTAGAAACCATAGTTTCTGTTTTTACTTTGTTTTTGAAATTAACAGTCTCTCTCTCTTCTTCCAATAATGTACTTTCCCATTTCCCCATATAAGCAATAAGTATGAAACGTAAAAAAAAAAAAAAAAAAAAAAAAACTTTGCGGGAGATATGTAGACAACAACACCACTGCTTCTTAAAATGTTTCCTATTTGTTGTAGAAGACAAAACGACTAAATTTAGGGGTGATAAGCTTACGCTTAAGTAATTTTAGATGATTATTTTTCTAACATGCATATATGCAGTTTAAATTTTATATGAAAGTCGTGTTTCAGTGAGTAAATTGTTTATTTCTTAAAATTGAAGGCAGAAAAATAAGTTTTACATGATAGCATAATCTGTAATCCAAAATATTGCAGAAGAGGCAAGAGAACTGTATTTCCTAAGCTACTCTGGGATATACAGTTAGTACTAGGCAAGTCAGGACTCTATTGCAAGATGCTCTCTCAAAAAACCAAAGGAAGCCAACAGTGGTGGTACATGCCTTTAATCCCAGCACTCAGGAGGCAAAGGCAGGTGGATCTCTGTGAGTTCGAGGTCAGCCTGGACTAAAGAGCTAGTTCCAGGATAGCTAGGGCTTGTACACAGAGAAATCTAGACTCAAAAAAAAAAAAAAAAAAAAAAAAAAAAAAAAAACAGAAACAAAAAAAAAGAGGAGGGAAATAAAAACAGATTTAAAAGTACCTTTCTACTATGAACTATTTCACAGAATTTCTTCATCTCAGATAAGTTATCACTTCTCTCCGAGTCTACTTCATCCTCTTTTCTCCCCCCCCCTTTGTTTGAATAATCCAGAAGATTAAATAAGCAGATTCATATCTATGCTATTTTAAATGCTGTATGATTCCACGTAAGTGTGTATACGGTTGTCATTCAGAAGGACTGATTATGTGTCTACTAAATTTAGATGTTAGTAGAGAACATATTGTGGGTGTGATACTCAATTAGTAAATAGATACTAGTAGTTGGATATTTCAACCACTCTAGCTCTTGGTTGTCAGAATATGCAGACTCTGTCCTCAGTGTGACTTACTTTCTGAAAGTCAGTTCTCAGATGTAACACATATCTACCCTGGCTAATGTGATTTCCTAGGATTATTACACATTCCCAAAGCTCTGCTTTATTTGTTTATTTGCATTAACATGAGCCATAATCTTTCAAATTTCAAGAAATTTCCAGACAGGTGTTGGGTGAATCATTAAGTATAAGGTACATATTCCTCTGACTTTCTTAAATTTTAGTTCTCTGTCTCTTGTAAGCTACTGTCATTACAGGCATAATGCTCTCACAGTTAAGGTTAGAATTGCATATAATAAACAAAAACAGCTTTATGTGTCCATCTTGAGTATTCTGCTATTTTGGTCACAATTTTTGGTTTTACTTTTGCCACTATTTCATAGTTGACATAAAATATGAATAAGGGAATACATGGCAGTTTACAATGCTCAACAAAATCAGAATTCTATTAACAAGCAAGATTAAGGGTTTTTCACAATGCTGGTAATATGTCACTAAATAATAATTTACCTTTACATATTGATCTATTTGTGGATTTAATTAAGTCTTAGTGGCCACTTCCATCTCAAATTTCATGAGGCCTATCAAATTACACTCCATCTGTAGATGTCTATAGCTCACTTAACATTTCAAGAGTGCCCCCGACTTTTATTTCAGACAGTGCTTCACTGTGTAGCCCTGGGCCTGCCTGGAATTCACAGAGATCCACCTGCCTATGCTTCCCAAGTGCTGAGACTACAGGCGTACCCCACCAAGCCTTTTGAAGGCCCTTTTGTTGTGATTAGAATTGGAGATAAGTATCACTTCATGCCTATCCAATATCCTAAGCAAAATTAATTAATTGGCAAATATATTAAATTGAATATGTTTATAGCTAATTTTATTATCACTATTATTATGCAACAATGATTGAACAAATTCTCTTTACTAGCTTGAGCCATGTTTGTACCTTGTAGACTTATTAACTGCAACTACTATCTTAAAGTGCATAGACTTATTGATTATAGCTATATTCAAGTGTTATCAATAATCTAGATGGAGTGTAATGTAGTTAAGATGTGGCTTTTTCATTTAAAAAATATCACATAGGCATTTACAACATGAAGAAAAACTGATCAAGTACTTAGTGAATTCCTTTATGCCAGATGCTGAAACTGTAAAAGCCTCAAACAAAAACCTGCAGATAAATTTACAAGCAAACAAAATAACAAGCTACAACAGCACACTGCAACTTAGCCCTGCCTAAAAATTAAAAGCCATTTTGAAATGAATTAAATTGAAATAGAAGTTGAATACATGTTTTGTTATGTAATTTATATCATTTCTGATGGCATGATAGGGTGTGAAAAATGAATCGTTTCTAAAAGTGCTTAAGGGCAATGGGGGTGGAAATGTGTATTACAGTACAGATTGGATTAAGATGATAGGATTTATTCATTAGTACCTCAGTGTAACAACAAAATGAATATATAATTCATATATTATAAAATAATCCTGGAATAGACAATCTTTTTAGGAACTAGAAAATAGCAGGATGATTTTCATCAGTTATGTGACTCTAATTGTCCCTTCTACCTCTGTATCTTTCTCAGTTTATTCCAGGGAACTTTGAGTAGTCTGGGTTTTGTTTGCATATTGTTCTTTCGAGGTCTGTGAAGAATTGTGCTGGGATTTTGATGGGGATTTCACTGAATCTATAGATTGCTTATGGTAGGATTTCCTTTTTTTTTTTTTTTTTTTTTTTTTTACTGTGTTGATCGTACGTATCCAAGAGTATGGGAGATTTTTTCCATTTTCTGATATTTTTCACAATTTCTTCTGTCAAAGACTTAAAGTTCTTGTCATGCAGGTCTTTTATGTCTTTGATTAGTTTATCCCAAGATATTTTGTGTTATTGTAGCTATTATAAAAGGTAATGTTTCTCTGATTTCTTTTCAGTCCCTTTATCATTTGTATATAGGAGAGCTACTTTTCTTTAAAGTTGATATTGCATCCTGACACATTACTGTAACTGTGTATCAGCTATAGGAGTTCCCTTGTAGAATTTATGGAGTCAGTTATGTATACTATCATATCATCTGCAAATAGCAAAAGTTTGGATTTTTCCTTTCCAATTAGTGTCCCTTTAAACTCCCTTTGTTTTCTTATTGCTCTAGCAAGAACTTCAAGTACTTTGTTGAATAGATATGGAGATAGTCGACAGCCTTGTCTTGTTCCTGATATTATTAGTAAAAACTGCTTTGAGTTTTTCTCTATTTATTTGATGTTGGCTGTCAGCTTGCTGTATATTGCCTTTCCTTTATTATGCTTAGAAAATGGTCCTTGTACCCTTGATCTCTTCAAGACCTTTAATGCAACAGAGTGTTGGGTTTTATTTAATGCTTTTTTCAGCATCTAATGAGATGATCAATTTTTTTTAGTTTGTTTATATGTTGGACGATGTTGATTTTGTATGTTGAGCCATCCTTGTATCTATGGGAGTGAATAAGAGTGAATTCATTGCGTATATGGAGCTGATTCTTTCTGAATTGAGCTTTATGCTGTAGAAGTTAACAGCTGTCCACATAAGTTATCTTTGAGTGAAAATAGCACTTCATTCACAAGACAAAGTTGATAGAAGAAATTTATTAAATTTGGTTACACTCTGTGCATGCTAATGTATGTACCAAGGCCACAAACCATCCTATTTCAAGGTATCCTTTATTTTGCATTTTAAAAGGTAAAGCCCAGAATTTGGATGCGAAATTCCTTCCCTATAATAATTTCTAATGAACTCTTGTTAGAAACTTCACAGTGGTTTCAGTTCCCAATTTCTTTTTCAATTATTCAAATGCAACAGAGGAACATGTTAGATGTTCCACAGACTAAATGAAAGTAATGGGAGACAGTCCTCTATAAGGAGTCTAAATGGGAAACTATAATCAGTGTTTGACAAACAGCTTATTGGACTTATAAAACTACATTATGCAGAGATGTGCACAGAAAAAAAAATATTGACATAGTTTTAATTTGCAAGAAACTTTTACCTAGTAACAATTCATACCTACAATAGTGTAAATGAGAAAAGCGTTTTCCGTTTCAGATGTGGATTAGGAAATGAACTTAAATCCTGTGGTGTGTGCCATTGTCCTAGAAGTTAAGAGACATTATCCAGACAAATAGTAATAATTATTGCTCAGGAAAATCCTTTAACAGTCTTAAGATATGCGGCACACCGTGATTTTTTTTTCCCTTCTGCCCCTTAAGGTATTCAGCGGAAAGCTCTATACAGATAGAAATGTAAAAACATGTCAACAGGCAGTTTAGTGGTAACTACAGTGCAGATAGGACACACGGTGCCTCATGTTGTAGAATCAGAATGACTGTATCACGACATAATTTTGCCTTATTCGCACCACAAAATGTCCAATGCCAAGAAAAGCTGTGAAGAAGCGAGCTGAAAAACTCACCGTACTTTAGTGCCAAAGTGATCTTAATCGTGGGGCTTTTATTTTTTTGGTTTATTTCCCTTGACATTTGGTGCAAATCAAATTCAAATGAATACAAGGGGAAATCACATTGCCCTCATTACTTGTTTCTGTAAATTACGGGAGGAGACAAATTCATTTTTCTCTTAAAAAAATTAGTGCTCTGACATCCAGTAATCTTTTTACACATTTCAAGATGCAAAACAATTGCAGAGATCTTAAAAGAGCCATTTTGTTTGCAGCTTGTCGACCAGGCTTCTACAAGGCCTCAGATGGTATTGCCAAGTGTGCTAAGTGCCCACCACACAGCTCGACACATGAAGACGGTTCAATGAACTGCAGGTGTGACAATAATTATTTCCGGGCAGACAAAGACCCTCCATCCATGGCTTGTACCCGTGAGTAGTTCTGCTGCAACCCATGCTCCATGTTTGGATTGGTTTGTTTTATCCTGTGGCTGTGCTGTTTGTTTTTGAGGTGTGTGTGTGTGTGTGTGTGTGTGTGTGTGTGTCATGTGTGTATGAAGCATTGCCCTTTTCTTTCTGTTTTCCATATGCAAACTGAAAACTCTGTTTCCTTCTTCATGCTTGACTCATCTCAAATGCAACATTTATCACATAAATATGAATTCGTTTTAAAAAAATTTTCTGCAATGCAGCACTGTATAAAGTAAACGCAATTCTGTATCTGACTTTAGAATCTCGCAATGAATTTACTCGCCAGTACAGGGGAGGTTACAATTGGGGATTTAGGTTTGGGGATTTTTATTACCTTTTTCTATCTCTTGGTCATAGATCGCGGTAAATAAAAAAGGTCGGGGGCAGGAACTAAGATTTATAAACATAATCTTGAAGTTTTCGTAACTATTCACCAGGGTATTGGATATAGTAGTAAATTTCTTTGTTGGACACTGTAAATAGCTCCTCAATCATGCGGAGAAATTTCCAGTTCATAGCTGGGCGAGATCGTTCCTCTTGGATCCATGTGCCTATTATCTCATGGATCCTCTGAGGATGAATTGGAGCCGATAATAAGGACAGGATAGATATTTACCTCTTCGGGTCCTTTATTACGTACCCATTTCCTGTTTAGTGGAAATCAGAGGCAATGTTCATTAATCTTTTGTGGAACTATTTTGCAGGACCTCCATCCGCACCAAGAAATGTTATCTCTAACATAAACGAGACCTCAGTTATCCTGGACTGGAGCTGGCCCCTGGACACAGGAGGCCGGAAAGATATCACCTTCAACATCATATGTAAAAAATGTGGGTGGAATGTGAGACAGTGTGAGCCCTGCAGCCCCAACGTCCGCTTCCTCCCTCGGCAGCTCGGACTCACCAACACCACGGTGACTGTGACAGATCTCCTGGCACACACTAACTACACCTTTGAGATCGATGCCATTAATGGGGTGTCAGAGCTGAGCTCACCACCGAGACAGTTTGCTGCAGTCAGTATCACTACTAATCAGGCTGGTGAGTACACTTTGGCGACTTCAGACTTGGACTGTCGTGCACATCCAACCCCTGTGTGGGCAGAGCAAGCAAGGAAAATATCGTTGCATGGGAAGATGGAAAAGAAACCCCAGATTCTTTTCTAAACTCTTGTTTAGACAACTGTGCTACATTAGTAATTCAATTTAATCCTGTGAATCAGAATAAAACATATTTGCAAGGGAATTTCAAAAGTATTTTAAATGTATTGCTGCCTAGTTGAAATCCTGAGGTGGCAAGGGGGCCCCTTGAAAAACTTAACATGTAATAGAGATTTGCAAAGACCAGACAGGCAGCTTAAGAATATATATTGGTTAAATTGGATTCATATTTAGTTTTTTATTTAGTATGGTGAGGAAGGCCTGAGTATCATATGTTTTTGTTTTTTGTTTTTTGTTTTTTTGCTTTTATTTTTTAAGAGTGGGGAGTTTAAGCTGAATACAGGTAAACCAGTAACTGAGCAAGTATGCATTTGCTTCCCGTGTTCCTCAGTACAGGTGCCTCATGGCCAGCTTTTAAAACTTCCTTTCACATGAGACTCCCCCAAACAGTGGACTATTGCATAACTCGTGAGATAAAGGAACACCTTTCTCTCCTAATATCATTACACAGGTATTTTATCCAAGCAGCAAAAATAAAACTAGAGCATCTCCCCTGGCTGTCTGAATAAGGTTAACTTAACTACAGCTCAGAGCTGACACTGGTTAATTTGTCTGTAATATGCCTCTGCTGGATTACCATATTCTTAACAAATAGCTCAAATTCTGGTGGTTCTAATTCAGGACGTTAGAGATACAGCAGGCAAGGTTAGACCTCAAACCTGCCATTCCCAAAACTCAGTATCTTAGTCCACCTTCATCTTCTGGGAATCAGGTTATAAGAAAGAAACCTCAGCATTTCAGGACTAGCACCCTCCTCCTGTCCCTGTTCCTGGCAGGATAATGGATTATTACTTCTTTCACAGAATATCTACCAGTGGTAGCCTTTGTAATTCTTATTCCTAGGTTTTGTTCATATTGTTTGCCCTAACGTTGCTTCTAATCCCTTATTTTAGTGAAAATGTAGCTTTCTTTAACTTTTTCCATAGTGATGCACAAATGTCATCTGTGGGAATGTGTGATTTTCCAGCGGTTTTTAACAACCATTACTTTAATTGTTATTAGGAAACTTGTTTTGCCCCTCTTTATGTTAGATCCCAGTCTCACCAACAATGGATTTGCCTTTGCTATAGTTAATGGTATTTTCTATTTACAGTTATGTTAAAAAGATGTGTAATGAGTTTATTTAACTATCTTTATATGGAAAGATGAACAATACTCATGTTATATATGACATGACTATGGTGTTTTTCCTGTCTAGTGAACACAGGAATTCTACAGTTTTAATGATGTGATAAATGATTTACTGAAATCCTCTATTTCAAACTGATTTACTACTTTAAACAGGAGCATCAATCTGTGCTCTAATTATATCCTATGTCAAACAAGAACATTTAAAAATAAGCAGGAGCTCCTGTGCCCTATCTTATCATTCCCCTCTGCCTTTCAGGTAATGCATTAATCGGAAAATTAATAGTTCTGAATATATCCACTGAGAGGGGAGTGGCAAAGAGGCAACAAGGAGAAGACTGGGATCTTACAAAATAGATGAGATTGTGTGTCCCACCCCCACTGCCTGTTATAAATCAGTGAATGGGGCAGAGGTCCACTAGGAGTCACCCCTGACTCTTCCTAAACTGAGTCCTCTTTCTTTCAAGAGCAGATTTGACCCAGTGTGGAACAACAGAAATGATACGTTTATCACATGGTGTCTGTACCATTTTGTATGTCTGTGGGGGCAGAATTTCTTTCTTTATCTTCAGTCCCCAGGGTTTTTCAGCATGGTTATATGTAAGCAGCACTAAGTCTATATAGAACGCCTCTTTGTTTTACTTTATTCTTATTCCTGTGAAGGTTAATGGACTGGTAGCCTTATAAAACTAACCTCCCAGGCATTTGAAGGATGTGGTTGTGCTGGATATAATGCCTCCATGCTTCAGTTCCTTCTATTCTTTCTATCTTTGGCATGGCTATAAAGACCAAAAGGGAATGTGTTCCTTTTAATTTAGTTTCTGAGATTGAGTTTACTGATCCCCCTCTTGATTACATTGTTAAAGCTTCCAGATAACCACTTGATAAGGCACCTTCTAAATTGTAGAGGATTATGTGGTAAATTCGGATATCAGTTCCTAGCTCTTGATGCTTGCACAAAGCCAGTAAGATTAAAAACATAGACATGGTTCCTACATAAAAATCGTATCCATCAGTGAGGAAGCCAAACATGTAGAGGAAGAATTACAGATTGTAAAATAAACAAATTAAAGTTACATTCTAAAATAAATTGCCACCTTTTACCTTATTCCTCCAAGTAGGAATATTTAACTTTCACTTCTGGAAATGTACATTCCACGGGTGGAATATACATCTGTTTAGTCTTAATCTCCAGCATTGCACAGATGATGTTTAAGTATCCTATAGCAGATAACAAATTCAGATTAGATGAAGGGGCAGAGTCTGAGAATTTAGGAAATTTTGATTTCTCTGTCTGTTCAAATGCTTCTGCTGGAAAAGATCCAGACACTTTCCAAATATTTCATCAAGATTTCAAACTCCTTTATCTCCCCACCTAACTCACTTCCACATCGTTCTTACACTGCAGTTCATGGTATGTCCCACGAAGCAAAGAACAGTAATGCTAATCAGAAGATGGAGAGTGGCCGTAGAGTTATCTGTCATGACCAGCAACAGAAAACCTGGCCATTACTGTTTATACCATGGGGCTTTTAAAGGGAGACTCTGCACAAAATTACCTCTGTCATATCCAATATTCTTAAGACTGGATCTCATCATTTATTCCATAATACTCAGATAATTTTCTCCTTACTTCCTTTTTTTAAAAATAAATTATTTGAAATTAGGATGTTTTAAAATTATTTTATTTATTTGAGCTTTTAATATAATTGCTTCATTTCCCTCTTCCCTTTTCTCATTCATAACCCTCCCACATAATCCTTTTTGTTTCCTTCCAAATTCATTGCCTTTCTTGTCATTATCTGTTGTTAAATATAACTATGTCCTTTCCCTCCTTCTCTTTCCTCTTCCCAACTCCTCCAGTGGAACCCCTCCCTGTTCCCTCTCAAATTTTTGTTATGTTATCTACACTAATATAAATTGACAAAATATGAATACAAATTTCCCAGTCCATTTAGTGTTACAGATATATGATTTCAGGGATGACTAATTCGTATTGAATAGCCAGTTAGTAGGCTCATCTCTGGAGAAGTCTATTTATCCTGTTATTATTATTTCTTAGTTGTCTGTAGTTTCCGGTCGAGGGTTGCCAGCTCATGAAATTTTACTCTTTCATGGTAGCATGTCTATTGATGCTGTTTGGGTCTCCTTTAGGCAGCGATGTGATTGGATGAAGATTTCCTGTCATTTCTAGGAATTAGCAATATCACAAAAGATTTCATGGTCTTCTGGTTCTTGCACTCCTTCCATTCTCTCTTGTATGATGTTCTCTGAATTCTGGGTACAGGAGTTGAGTTGTAGATGACTCATTGGAATTGGGCATGATGTGGTGACTTGTTCTCTGCCTTTTGACCAACTTTGGATTTCTATAATTATCTAAATCTGTTGTCAAAGTAATGTCTTTGATGAGGGGTGGGAACTACACTCACCTGTATAAGAATAAGTATTTTACAAGCAGTTAGAAATTAAGCTGGTGTAGTAAGGTGATGGTATAAGGTTCTCTACTGAAGTCCATAACTTCACTAGCCCTAGAATGTTGCCTGGGTCTCCAATATCTGGCATCATTTTCCTCCTATTGAGTGGACCAGAAGGCGATTAAAAGCTGTTGGTTACCACCAGGGTGGGATCACCATTAGTGTGCCTATAGGGATACATCTCCTTTCTGGCCATTGATGTGGACTGTCGGTGTTTCAGCTGCTTGTGTTGTATTGATTGCTTCCTTCCCTTGGACGCTTGTAAACTCTCAAAAGAGAAAACTTTCAGGTTTGCTCCAGGTATAATTCTTCAAATGCTGTGTGATGTGAATGGTTTTTCAACAATAGGGACTTAACTTCAGTCTCTGAGGAAACCAAGGGCAACAATAATAGGCATTACACATACACACACACACACACACACACACACACACACACACACACAATACAACACATATATAGTATATACATATGTGTCTATGTAATTGTATGTCCATCCTAAATATAATTTAGTTTAATAAAAATGATTCCTTATGATTTTCAAACAACTTTAGTCTTATTTTCCTTTCCTACCTTCCTCTTCTTCTGTAATTGCCCTCCTTTTCTCTCTTCAATTAATGCCCCTCCCCACTTTCCCCATGTCCTCCTTTACACAACCTCTATCCTGCCATTCTCTCTCTAGCTTTGTCTTTTTTGTGCTAAAATTTTATTTCCCGCTTTTCTTATTTTCTGCAGTTGCTCTAAGTTATCTACTCATGTCTGAAGATTTGGAGCTGGTAAACCACAGACAGAGACAACATGAGGCCAATAACTTTACAGAAAGGAATGAAAATGTTATGCTTCTACCTCTAAATGTAGTTTCATCTGAAATCACTATATCCTGTTTATTTCAGATTAATAATGTGTTAAATAGTAAATCTCCTTTTAACTCGTGTTCTTTCATGTTTTGTTTATTGGTTTTGTTGTTGCTTTGGTTTTCTTTTTCTTAAAGACAACATGTCATGATAACAAACAAATTAAAGTGTTCACTGTAGCTTTTATGAATTATTCTTTATTTTCTCATTCTATATTTGATTTAATTTTCAATTTCAAATATTTTAGTTGATGGAAGTGTCTGTCTAATTCCCCCTCTCGTCACTGGGACACCTTGTAACTTGAACCTGTGCAGGCCCTGTGCATGATGCCACAGTGTGAATTTAGTTGTGTGTCAGTCCTGTGG